ACTACAAATTGTTAGCACCGACGAGCTAGCTCGGCCACCAAGTCCGCGGTCCAGGCCGACTGCTCACCACTCAACAAACACAAACGCAGCTCGCCAGCCTTCAGCCTGATGGCTATGCGGTCTGGTGCTGCTGCATAAACACACAGAGAAAACAGTGCCGTACAGCACCACACGCACTGCCTACGGCGCCCCTTCGGGCATTAACCTGCCCATTCGGGCGCCTGCTCACGCACCCTCAGCACCACCCTAAAGCCTAGCTCAAAACAATTCCTCAAAACCCTCAGCACTCCTCCTCTGGCGATCTAAGTAACGCCCAGCGCTGTGCGGCAGCGCACGAACTTGACCTCGCCCAGTGCCTTGGTTAGGATGTCAGCCACCATGTCATCGGTGGTGCAATAGCTGAGCTTCACCTCACCACGCGCGATAGCCACTGCTGTCCGTCAATATCGGCTGGGTGTCACTGGCTGGCAGAACCCGCGTACCCTGGGGTAGCGGGGTGGCACGTGGCTTGGCGTTCTCCAGGCTGTGGTGCTGAAGCAGCTGCTCCACGTAACGCTGCTGCATGAGCATGATGCTGCGGTTGCGGCGGTCCTGGATGATCTCCATGCCGAGGTAGTAGCGCGCCTCTCCAAGGTCTCGTACAGCGAAGCAACCAGCTATGGCCGCCTTGGCGGCCGCAACCAACTGCGGGTTGTCCGCCGCCACCAGCATGTCGTCAACGTGCACGAGCACATCGATTGAGCCATCGGACCCCCGCTTGACGAATAGCGCGGGGTCGGACGCAGACGGTTCATAGCCTAGCTTGCCCAGCTCCGCCGCCAGCTTCTCGTACCAGCAACGTGGGGCTTGCTTGAGGCCGTAAACAGACTTTAACAGCCGGCACGCCTGTGACGGGTCGCCGTTGCTGTAACCTGGGGGCTGTCGCATCCACAGCTCCTCTTCCAGGTCACCGTTCAAGAAGGCCGTCTTGACGTCCATCTGATGGACCGTCATACCTCTGGCTGCTGCCACAGCTAGAAGTGCCCGCAGGGAGGCTGCACGCGTAGTGGGCGCAAACAGCTCTCCATAGTCTATGCCCGCTCGCTGTTCAAAGCCTTTCACCACTAAACGCGACTTGTAGCGTACCTCACCGCCTGGCTCCTGTTTGATTTGGTAGACCCAGCGGCAGTCCAGGATGCGTGCACCGGGTGGCGGCGTGCCCAACTCCCAGGTCTTGTTGGAGAGCTGCGACAGAATCTCGTCACCCATCGAAGTTCTCCACTTGTCCGCTTGCGGACTCGCCACCGCTTCCTCATAACTGCGCGGCTCCTGCACCGTGCTGTTGCCTCCGCCGCCCGCATTGCCGTCGCCTGCCTCAGCATAATTTGTGCTTCCCGACGCTTTGTTAAGCAGCGGTGGACTGCCCAAATCTCCGCCGCCGCCGCTGCTGTTGTTGGCTGGACAGACCGTGGCCAGCGGCAGCCGTTGGCTGCGTGTGTTGGGGCGGGGGGGGTGCTGGGTTCACTGGGGGCGATGCAACCACTGGAGGCCGCGGTGTGGCGGGCTGTGTAGAGCCGCCGACGGGGTCGCCGCTGCCAGGACGGGCGGGGCCAGCGCCGAAGGAGGTGCCCGCCCGTTGAGACGCCAGGCCGCGGAGGTCGTCGTCGAAGGTGACGTCGCTGCTAACAGTCACCTTACCGTCGACGAGGACGCGGTGGGCGGCCGTGCCGCGCTCCGGTCCTAGGTAGGTTCCCGCCTCTGCGCGGGGACCGAGCTTAACCTGCTGGCTGGTTGGGACGCGGACGTATGCCAGGCAGCCGAAGGTGTGCAGGTGACTGACGTCGGGGGTGACGCCATGATAAGTTGCCCACGGCGTAGCCTCCCGGCCCTGAGAGGGGGAAACATTGCGCAGGAGGTTGGCGTATAGCACAGCTTCCGACCAAAAGCTGTCCGGGAGCGCGGCATCGTACAGCATAGCCCGCACACAGTCGAGGAGCGTGCGATTGAGCCGCTCCGCTGCGCCGTTCTGCTCCGGAGTGTACGGCGCCGAGTGGGTATGCGCAGTGCCGCGCTGGCGTAGCCACTGTGCCAGCTGCTCGGCGACAAACTCGCCACCGTTATCACTATGAAGGGTGCGGACCCGTGCACCGTTCGGGTTGCGAGCCTCCAGCTGCGTCACCATGTCCTGCAGCGCTTCGCCCACTTGGTTCTTGCTAACCAGTGTGCGAACGGCAGACAGACCGGAGGCACCGTCCAGCAGCGTTAGCAAGTAGCGAGCCCCTCCTCGGCCCGTGGTCGGCATGGGCCCGCACAGGTCAGAGTGTACGACCTCCAGGACATGCTGAGGCCGGTTACCGCGGCTGACGTGAGCTGTAGCTGTAGTCTTCGCTGTGACACAGGCTTCGCAGACACCCTCTGCCGCCTGACGCAGCGCCGCGGGAGTGACCCGTGGTCCATGTACCAGCTGCTTGGTGATAAGCTGCTCCAACGCCCGGTAACCAAGGTGGCCGAACTGGCGGTGCAGGCGCTGTGCTGCTGCGAGTTCGGCGGCTGAGCACTCAAGGGCGCCCAGCTGCCCTTGGCCGTTGCTGGCGCCGTTCGACTGGTCTCCGCCGGTGTCACTGCTGCCGGCGCCGTTCGGCTGGTCCCCGCCGGCGTCACTGCTGCTGGCGCCGGCGGCAAATCTGCTAGCGCTGGTACCTCCGCCGGCTCTGTCTTCCGCAGCGCCGAGCGCACTGACGGCGCGTTTGGTCGGCGCCAGCAGGTCCACGTCCATGACGTAATGCCCACGCTCGCTCCA